TGATTGGAGATTTTAGTCTCTGGTTCTGGAAATGTTCTGCAGCTGGCAGAAGGTCCACTGTGGAACCCAAGGGTCAGGTCAGAGGTCAGAGGTCAGCCACTGAAGCTCTGCCCCAGAGATCTGCCCCTGAGCGTCTGAAGGACAACAGGAAGTCTCTTGAAGACATGGAAAAGGAAAGGCATGGAAAACGCTGAACACAGGATCTCATCTCAGATTTCCTCTTTCTAACTCTGCAGCATCAACTCGTCTCCTCGGTGACCCCCAGCTGGGTCAGCTGGGGTCATGCCACCAACACGACCCGCCATGGTGGGCCTGTCGGGCACCATCGACCCAAACATGAGCGCTGAGTCGTGAGATGAAACAGACGTTCAGATCCATCCAGCTGAGCAGCTGTTCCTCCGTCTGATCCGGGTTCTGCAGGATCAGACGGATCGGCCCTCGGAGGCTTCAGCCTCTGGGACGGTTCTCTACTTATTCTTTCATTCAGCAACAAGGTTTGCATTTGTCCTGCAGTCTTTCCATTTCCAGAGGAACAGTGATCTGTGAAATCTTCAAAGCTTGGGGAATTGTTTCATGAACTAACCCTGGATTGAACTTTGACCCTGACCTCTGCTCTTCTTCATGTTAACTGAGAAACCTGGGTCCTACAGGCAGCAGGACACCAGCTCTACGCTTCATTTAGCAGGTCAGGATCACTCTAAGGTCGACACAAAACATGTTCATTACGTTCACTTCACTAAATCATTCTCACATAATCAGCCTGAGCCTTTCAGGGTCTCTGTCGCTTTAAATCCAGACAAGCTGCTGCTGGCCACGCCCCCAACTCAACATTTACACTCACATGAAAATGGCTGCAAACAATCAAACATCTTTGGAAAGCATTAGTGCAGCCTCCTGCACAACCAACCAGCAAGTTAATAGCTAAACTCTTGTCTCCTCCAGCAGCCATTGTACAGCAGGAAAACTGGCTGTAGATCAGCTGGAGTTGCTAGGCAGCAGATTGGATTGCGGTTGCTAGGTAACAGCGCAGTGTGACTCAACAATCTGGAGGTTTTTGAAAGGGCTCATTTTCCAGACACCAAAAATCATGAAGTTGTTGCCAAAAACGTGATGGATTTTTATTTTAATCTCTGGTTCTGGTTTTGGAAACAGTTGAAACCAAAATGAAAAAATAAAAATGTTCAAAATGTGAATTTTGCATAATATGTCCAAATTAAAGGCTGAATTCAAACGCAAGCCACACTTTGCAGATCTGTAATCATAAATGTTTTTTTTTGCATGTTCTCAACTAAAATCTCAGTTTAATAGATTCATGTTTTTTGGCCATAATGAGAAGAAAACATGAAAATCTTTGAAAGGCTGTAAATTCAGAGCCGAACATCAAGCTGCAGCTGCAACTGCCCCTGCTGCCCCACGCCCAACTGCCCCTGCTGCCCCGCGCCCAACTGCCCCTGCTGCCCCGCGCCCAACTGCCCCTGCTGCCCCGCGCCCAACTGCCCCTGCTGCCCACCCCCAACTGCCCCTGCTGCCCCACCCCCAACTGCCCCTGCTGCCACTCAGGCTCCAGGGTGATTCAGAAAGCCTCGCTGTCACACTGCAGCCACTTCAGCCGTCCTGCGTGTGGCGCTGTCTGAGCCCAAAGCAGCAGATATATGGCTGCCATCTGGCTGCGCGGCGACTTGGAGGGAAACCAGGAGCCTGATGCTGGTTTCTGCTCTCGCTGGTGTAAATAACTCCCTGCAGCTTCTGCTCTGTGGGACGGCTGGACATTTATGCTGAGGAGAATTATTTTTCTCATCCTAAAGACAAAACAAATCATAGCGTGTCATTTCCTCCCCTCTGCTCCTGCAGTCGCTCTGCTCACACTGTGTGTGTGTGTGTGTGTGTGTGTGTGTGTGTGTGTGTGTGTGTGTGTGTGTGTGTGTGTGTGTGTGTGTGTGTGTGTGTGTTAGCTGGACTGCTGGCGGTGCAGAATTAGTAGCTGCAGCCCAAACTGGATTACAGGGCAGAAAGCAGGGAGTTCACTAATGGAGGGCCGACTTGGCTGCTTGCAGCTTCTGGCCATCAGCTGAGGCCAATTATGTGAAGGAGGCTCATCTGGGTCGATCCGGTCCGGCCCGCCTCGGTCCGGTCTGGCCCGGCTCGCCTCGGCTGTTTCCCTTAATTTAAAAAAATTAAGTGAAACAGAAATGAAAACTGTAAAATTAATTTTTCTGTTGCTTATCAATAAAGAAACAGAATTTATTAATCAGCTTGAGATTTAAAGGTGACTCATTTTGCTTCCTAGACAGATTAGGACACATCTGTGGCCTAAACAAAACATGTTCACTAATTTGCAGCACCAAATTATTCTAAGATTTCAGTCTGAGCTGTTTCAGGGTCTCTGTCGCTTTAAATTCAGTCAAGCTGCTGCTGGCCACGCCCCCAACTCACCGTTTACACTCACAACAAAATGGCTGCAAACAGGTGGGCAGTTATGAAACTATACATCTTTGAAAAGCCTTGGTGGAGCCTCCTGCACAACCAACCAGACTGCAGCAAGTCAGTCAACAACTAAAGTCTTGTCTTTTCCAGCAGCCATTGTACAGAGACAAACCAGCTGACCAAACCCTGGAGATCAGCTGGGATCACTACGCTCCGGAAGATTTTGAAACGGCTCGTTTTCCAGACACCAAAAATCACGACAAACTTATTGCCAAGAAACAGGGGGTGTTTTTTAATCATAGACTGGAATGGAAATAGAAAAATGTCCAACATGTGACTCTTCCTCTTTAATGTGCTGCTGGCTGTTTTCTCCCTCAGACTTTCATTGAAAGAGAAAATTAAAAATGTGGCTTTGAACACAACAAACAATCCAAACACTGTTTGCTGTGTATAAATCCAAACTTCTTTATTAAATAATGAATTAAATGTGATTAATTTTTTGAGACAGAGTTTAGCTTCTCTTCATTTTGATAGAACATGTCTGACAACATGAAGTCGGCTAGAAGACAATAAAACCTGAAGTAATATAATTAATAAATGCACAGATATAATAGATGTGACTGAAAAATGTTGCAGATTTTCCAGAACTCTGATCTAGATGGAAACCAGCATTTTAACTGGCAACCAGTGAACATTTAGCTCTTCTGTTTGAATTGGGAACAAGAACAACATGTGTTCAGCTGAAACAATACAGATGAGCAACATGAGCTGGAGGCCATTAAAAACACCTGAACTCACTGGTTCTGTTTTCATGATGAGCGTCGGCTTGGCAGGAGCAAGAGCAACATTTGTCTGATTTCTGCTCACAGAAATAAACGACAATGTTCACCGATGAGCCGTCATGTTGACCAACCGCTGGAACAACGAGGAACAAAGCAGAACATTTAATTTATGTGAATAGTCAGAAAGTCTGATCCCAAACAGAAGAACAGGAAGTTCTTTGTGTTATAAGAACTTAACACGAAGACAGAAATCACATGTGGGGTTCCTCAGGGTTCTGTCCTGGAGTCCATGTTATTTAATATCTAGCCAGCTCAGGTTACTGACCGGAATAAGATCAGCTCTGATAAATATGCAGATGATGCTCAGGTTTTCACTCCAATCTCAGGAAACCTGGGATGTGGGTGGATGTCTGGTTTCCACCCGGACGTATTTAGATGCGACACACGGATCTAATCAGGCTTCATGTGCGTTCATGAAGGTAAGTAAGTTTATTTTGTTTATGAACTCCTGTTTATTACCGGCCCGTTAGCCTAATGCTAATGCTAAAGCTCATCTTTTACTCTCGTTACTGTAAACAGCATCGGCTGATTTGCTGCTGCTGGTGCAACGCTGCTAACCTTCCCAAAACAAAGGATCGGAAAAGTCAAAGTTATTTAGTGGCTCATAACTGATGGAGGAGGCGAAAACGTTTAGTTTCCATTTGGTCATAAAGTTTGGGAAAGTATGAAATCTGCTTGCAGTGTTTAGATTGACAAAAGCAGAAAGTTTAAATATTTCGTACTGTAACCATAAATCATATTTTCTCAGATTCAAATGTGAAATTTGGCTTTTTAAATAATTATCTGTGACTGATGAACTCATTTTTTGTTTCTGTGTTTCTAGTAGCAACTGTTGCAGGAGCGTGAGCAAAGAAAACAACCATCAAGCAGAAACGCTGCACTGAGTGTATCTTTTTGTTTCCAAGACATAAATAAAATACATTTAGCTTCACAATAAATGAAAACTCAAACACGTGGATCTGTTTCATGTCTCCTGCCATCCTGAAGTTAAACTCTAAGATCAGAACATGAGGCAAATAAAAAATGTCTTCATCTGTTCAACTTGAGCAAGTTTTAAAAAATGAGTAAAATAACAGCTATAAATTTGTGATACATTTAATCATAAATGTTAATATCTGGACAATCTGTGTTGAAATGTTTGAACTCTGTTAAAGAAAATATGATAAAAGTTTTGAAAACATTTTCTTCCAAGTTGTTACAGTTTCATCTGCATGTGATGAAACTGAAAAAGCTGCTTTATGCAAAGATTTAATCCTAAAAAGACTCAAATTTGTTTTCTAAAGTCAGATTTTAACCAGCAGAGCAACATTTTAAAATGATGTTTTATCCAATTGTTGCACCAGAAAAAGAATAGAAGTGAAAGGGATTGAATGCAAACGCTGAGCAGTTTCCATATTTCTTATTTGTCATTTTTCTTCTACTCTGCAGTTATGCACCACTTTGTGTTGGCCTTTTGCAAAGAATCCCAGTGAATAAATACATAAAAAACAGGGAAACCTTCCAGGGGTCCAACGCCAAAACAAAAAATACGACTCTGTAGGAGGAAGACGGAGTCAGGAACAAGCCGTTTCCTGCCAAGTCCCACGCAGAAAAACTATTCAAATTTATTTTATTACCTTCTGCAATGAGAAATGCAGCCAAAATCAAGCAGCCGCTGATAAAACGGAGTCAAATCTACAATCTTTCCACCCCAAAAACCAGAATCAGGCCTCGGAGGGAAGAACCTCCTTCTGGTCCATTTTCACACATTTTATTGATGAAAAACAAAAGAACCAAGTGGAAAAATCCCAGTTACTAAAATTACACCTCAGCACAACGTGTGAAGACGTTACATTGAAAGTGCAATTTTGTCAATGAATTTGGCCATTTTGACGTCCCGTTTAGAAATCCCTCCACAGTCATGAGTGGTCAGAGTAATTTGGACCTGAGGAAACAGAACAGAACCCGTTTCAGTTCCAAACATGTTTGTTTCTGCTGCTTCCACATAAATGCACTGAAATATTGTTTACTGGGTCACAGAACGTTGTTTACTAGAGAATAAAACCCTTTGATCAGATATTGATTCATAAATCATTGATACATCAGGCTGGAGAAAAAGTTTCATTCACTTCATGACATTTTCTGGAAATAAAATATTAAACATTCCTCTGAAAACGTCGATGGAACAAAAACATTCAAAGAAAATCTTTCAAACCCACTTCCTTAAGACCAGAACCGGGGCAGAACCGGGACAGAACCGGGACAGAACCGGGACAGAACCGGGGCAGATGCATCTGCCCTGTTGTTTGTTGTGTTTGTTCTCTACTTTTACATGAAGCCACTGAATGTTTCCTCTGATCAGATTGAAAACGGGTCCAGAGCGGTTCTGAAACGGACCGGTACCCGTTGTCCAGTAGACAGAATAAATGGATCTTTTCTGTCGGGGAATCACAGCTCAGGTATCGTCTGACACAACAGAGCCGCTTCCTGAATCCCCAGAAGAAGAAACTCCTGACTGCTGGTGTTACTGCAGTTCATGTTCCCTCAGCGGATCCGGTTCCCTCAGCGCATCCGGTTCCCTCAGTGGATCCGGTTCCCTCAGCATCTCTGCTTCGCCCAGGTGGCAGAACACACCTGCTGTTCAGAGCTCTGATCTAGAGAAATACAGACCGAGAGCTCAAACTACGAGTTTCAGAGATTCAGAGAAACTAATCCTCCGTTTCCCACTGCGCCTCGTCAGGCACACAGAGCGTGTTCCCCGTATCTGGGGGAACGGAGCCCGATGGGGGAACGGAGCCCGATGGGGGAACGGAGCCTGATGGGGGAACAGAAAGAGATGTGGCTTCAGGTTTGCTACCTGGCGCCCACTAGTGGCGTGGTGAGAGCTTTCCACCTTTTCGATGTGAACCGTTCCAGATGGTGATCAGAACGTCTTTATGTAAATGTAATGAAAGGAACAAACGTTCCATGTTTGTTGGGTCTTTGTTGTGCAAACGGACCTTAAACTTTCCGCCATTATTGAGCCTCAGTTAAACATAAACACATCTGGTTTCCAGGGAAACGCGAGGCTCGGAGAAGCTGATAAAAAGTGTTTGAGTTCATGTTCACAGTTCTGCAGGAGCGACGTCAGAGACCAGGAATCTTCAACAAAAACACACCGTATGGAGCTCAGCCAGTGCCAAAAATAAATGTTTTTGTGGCTTAATTTGTGTTTTTTCACTAAAATGTGCCAAAATTTGTTGTAACTTTTATTTTATTTTTTACACTAGATTACAAAAAATACACTTCAATCTCTTATTTCAATCTATTTCAATAAAAAACAAATGTGTGTATTTTAAAAAGATTTTTTAAAGGCAGAATGTTTAGGCACTTTTTAATTAAACATTAAATACATTTGAGTTCATATGAGCTGCATTCATTTTTGCATGTGATGTGGATCTTTGGTTTCCAGAGCGTTTGTATCTTTATTCATGATATTTCTAAAAGGTTTACAAACTGCATGCTTTGAAAAAGTCTCATTTTACGTTGGGTCCTCATTTCCTCTGCAGATATTTACGTTTCTGACTGAGTCTCCAAAGTTTTCACTTTATTTTGATACCAAGATTACTGAAACAGTTTGTAACTGCTGAGAAACACTAGGCTGGGTTTGGGTTTGTTGTTTTAAACACACGTCAGAAAATCCTGGGGTTTTGAGGTTTTTACAGATTGCATGAAGGTCTGGAGGAGCCGTGGAAAAGTAAGTACACCCCCGATCAGCTCAGCAACTTAAAGCAATGAGGTTTTCTTCACACTTCAGCAAATCATGAAAACTGAGCAGAACATTATTTATGTTCCGTATGAACTCAGAATGGATCAAGTATTTTGTCCAGGTTTGCCTCCCAGTGTCGGTGCAGAGCGCCGAGACCTGCAGCCGCTTTAAAAAGAGCGGATTAGGAGCAGCATTCCTCCCCAAGAGCCGCGCTGCACCGCACCGTAATGCAGCAGCTTCAGCCTAAAGCCGAGAGATTTTCACAGACCGGCTGCGTCACGCACTTCTCTACCTCCGAGGAAAAATCACTGATGAGGCGGGAAGAGCTCCGGAAAATTACACTCAACTCAAAGTACAAAGTATTATGTAGAAAGTGCTGAGTAACTGATCAGGTTATCGTTTAATATTTAAAAATTACATCATCAGACGGACCACAATGTAAAGTTCAGTTGGTTTTTTAGAAACCAAAATGACAATAATTCATATCAGGAACAAAAATGAAATAAA